CAAATTGGACCATGGTGTAGTTGGACAAAATGAAATTGGGAATATTTTGAATTTATTGGGATTTTTTAGAAATTTTTTGAATTTTTTTGATTTTTGGGCCATAGAGGGGCATTCTGGTAATTTGGCCATTTTTTAAAATTTTTGTCAATTTTGGCAAATTTGGATGTATTCAAAGTGTTTGGAATAAGTTTTGATCAATTTTGGGTATTTTGGCAAAATTTAAAAATTTTGGCCAAATTTGGGTCCCAATGGCAGTTAGGTAATTTGGAGGTGCCTAGGGGCAAAATGCCAAGTTGGGCATTTCAAGTGGAATTGGATAAATATCCATTCTAAATAAGTCATAAACCAATGTATTGTGAAGATATAATGTACCCTAGTTCCAAGTCAACACCCAGGGTCAATCCTAAGGCCAAGTAACCCTATAGGAACTCTTCTTGAGCTCTCTCATAATGATCTTACCTTCTAAATATTAGAGGTTAGAACCAATATGTGGAACTTCAAGTTTAGTAAAGAGAAGAGTTTTGAGTTTCTAATGGTGATGGTACCCTTTCTAGTTTTCTAAGACTAGTCTATAGGAAAGTCCTATGGCTAGACCTAGGCTACTAAAGAAGTTTCTAGACCTCAACCAAAAGTGAGGTCAACATGCACCTATCTGGTTTTCATTATCTGAACTCAAACTTTAATTCTTTGACCTACTTATCTTATATGAAATTGAGACTATCCTTGAAAAACCTTTGCAGGTACTTACATACAATTCATTTCTCAAGACTCTCTATTGCAAGGATTTTGATTGAAAGAGATATTACACAACCAGATGTAGAAGAAGTCTGACTTGGATCTGCTCACAATGATTATTAGCAAAAAATCATTATGGAAAAAAAACCTTACTACTGCAAGCACTGCAAGATATTTGGACACCTGCAGGGAAAATATTTCAGATTGCACCCACAGTTGAGAACCAATAGTGAAAAACAAAAACACACTATTAGTGCACCCCATGTGCCTGAACGCGCTCCCAACAAATTTGATGACAGCCAATCTGATGAAGGAATCACCACAAGACTGGAGTGGGTGTCTGCCCATGGGATCTTTTCTCCTGATCATACTATAACAGATAATATTCGAACCGAAAATTAGGATAGTTCCGCTGCTCCTATTCAGGAAGCATCAGGTGCAGAGGTGACAATTCACACTTCACATACACTGAAACCTATCGCAGTAGCAACGACTGCCTTTTCTTCTACTGCGGTTCTAAAATCAAATTAGACCGAGGATCACATGAGTCAGTCTTCAGATGAAGAATGACAGGTTTACACTTCTCGGCAGAAGAAGAAGACTAGGGCACGCTCCAACTTAAAAACTTAATGGATGATACTTTAGTTACTCCTGACAATGACACGACTCTTCAAAATTTGTGATCTGACTCTGCTCCTAAAACTAGAGAAAGTGGCAGGACTAAATTGACCCGCCCCTAACTACCTTTTTTCTGCATTTTTTAAATTTGCTTTACTTTTTATTGAGTCTATCTGTATCTTTTTGTTGAGGTATTAATGTATTCGTATTGTATAGGTAGAGTGCCTCTTTTAGGCTCTCTCATACAACCTTTATATATCATTTCTATTTCAATAAAATCAGCCATTGAGCTTTTCAAAAAAAAATAATGATAAAAATAAAACATGCGGCTTGTAATGCTCATGCATAATAGAGGGTAGATAGACCCTAACGGCCTAACCTACCCTCCCCAGCCACCTTTTTCTTATTTTCCACCTATAATTTATTTCATCACTAAAATCTTCATAATTTATGATAATGAAATAGTCCTTGTGCTGCACTTAATTACAATCAATGAAAAATGAGGATTCATATAATTAATTCAAGTAATTAGGATAACGCTTAATATGATTATGATTATGAAGATGATTGATAGTGTTGTTGAAGAGGACCTACAATAATGGAATGGCAATAGCAAGAGTGTGGAAATTTTCACCCTCCCAAATCGTGCCAGTGAGATGAACCAATTTTGTGATAACATCTAAATTAAAAAAAAAAGTAAATCAATTGTATAAGAAAAACATACGTAAGAGTTCCACCTACTGATAAGGTGTGGCAAAGATCTTCATCCATTGGAGAAATGATAGCAAGAGCTATAACAAACATTGAAAATGCCTGCAAATTAAGTTTAGGAAAAGCGCAAAATAAAATATCATTAAAGTGGAAAGCATCAAATAGTCATCATAAAACTCATTAATAAAAAAAAAATATGATAGATACATCAATCATCAATAAATAACTAGATTTCTCCAAAATCAACGCAATAAATAGGTTTTTCGAAGATATTTTTAGGAAAGTGTAAATAATTCACAACCCAATAACTGTAAATTCTCACAGCACAAAAAAGATCCACCTGTTCAACATTATAGTTGAAAACGTATTACATAGTTATTGGTATGGTATCCGAATCCAACCTAGTACAATGGTTGAAACCGACAACTGGACAATCTGAAATCAAACTAGGTCGAGTTAAAATTGTATTGGAAAGCCTAAAGGGTCATTTGGGATCAATTTTGTTTTTTTTTAAAATTTTTTTTTATCTTGTTTATATTTTTATTCAAAATAAAACATGTGGTATGATATAAAATATTCAATCGTTTTTAAAATTACTCAAAATAACTTCTAAATGTTCCGAGTGTTTCTAAAAACAAGTTAATTTATTTTTGAAAATAAAGAATCTAGACATGCAAAAAATTCACTAAGCAAAATGGTTTTTAAAATAAAAGCAAAAACAAAAACAGATGTGATCCCAAACAAGCCTCATTTTCTATAAAGTAACTAAGATACCCAACTGTGCCTTTTTTTAATGTTAAACTGAGCATAGACCCTATACATAAAGAGTATAATTTTCTTCAACAAGCCTTCCTGATGCATAATTTCCTTATGGCTTTTCCTCCACTTTCCTTTCTTCCTCCCAAGACCGTAGTCTATTCAGCATTTCCTTCTTTAGTTTGCTCCAGCATTTTTTTGCCTCCTAAGACCATCTCAAGATCATAAAATACTTTGATCACAGCTATATGCCGCCTTTTCCATGTAGGCACTGTAGCCCTCAGTTGTTTCCATTTGTAGCAGCTATTTGCTTACGACTCAGCGATATTCCCAGCCGTAATAACTTACATAGTTGAAGGAGTGTTGGATCAGCATCAACCAAAAATGTTTGGTAAAGTTCTTGATTTGAGGCCAACAACAAGACCAGGAGTGGTGTGACATGATCTATATGGATATCCGCCATCTTATGTTGGGGTAATCGTGACAGTTTGACCAAAGGACTCAACATGATGGATCCAGAAACACCTCCTCATTTACCGAGCACGGAAAACGCATCATTCTACTTCCTTCGGCAGAGCCTGAGATCATAAGAACCCTTACCGGCAGAGCTGCGTCAGTAGAGTCAGTTCTAATGACAACATAGAATGAGAGGCCCGAGACACTGGTCCAGAGAAGATCCAACAGTATAGACATGGGTCACACTCCCAGAGAATCGGATCGATAAGGATGTGTCCGCAAAAGTGGAACCGACTTCTTCGATGCTTTGGACGACAGTGCAACCGACATTGGGATCCAGGTGCCGCCAGGATTGGAGATAAGGAACCAAAAGTTTCGACAAATAAGGTCGAAGCTCCCCTAACCACCGGAGACTGATACAGTGTGGGACAACTCCCGCGCGAGAGAGGCAACAAATCAGGGCCTTCCGATCTAATTGGGGGCCGGTCCAGGAGGAACTCAGGCCCAGCAGCCTAAGTTGGATTTTGAAACGGTGAGACTGTCGCTCGCCCTCTCCTCCTTCCTTTTCTGCTTCTCTGCTGGATTTTGACAATGCGAGATTGCTACTCGCCCTCTCCCCTTTCCTTTTATGTTGCTCCTTCAAATAGGAGCTAGTTATTTGCTATTTTCAAAGTTAAGGTTAGTTCTTGTTACTGTTTGTTGTTTTCAAAATCCTTTGTGGAGCTCATCTTCCTCTGCTAGGGCTGTAACTGAGGAGATTGTGGTGCTCCGACTGTATCCTACTCCGCAGTGGTGATGTATCTTCCTCTATCCTCCTCTCTACACCTCCTTCCCTTCCATTAGTCGTCAGCCATCCTCATACCATCCTTGTTGTCCTATAGCCCATTTTCCGCCATTGACTTACTATCCAGCCTTTCCAATCCGCCTCCCAACAACCTATTCCCCTCCAACCTGTTGTTGTCCACTACTCCAACCCCTTCCTCTACATCAGGCACCATATTATAGCCCTTAGGAGGGAGGTTACAGCCCTTCGGATTACTTAGCATCCCCCGAAAGCCTTTTCTCAACAGCCACCCTCATTCTCCAGCCCACCTACCAACCACCAAACCACTTCTTAACCGATTTCGCAGCCACCAACCCTTTCCCACCCTCACCACATTGTCGACACCACTCCGCCCTAGAATCTTCCCTTCCAGCACTAGTCGGACCTTAGTTTGTTAAAGTGTTTTCTCTTGATGTTTGTGTCGTGTTGTAACCCTAATTTAGTATTAAAAAAAATTTATTTTGCGATTTCCATTTAATTCCTACTAGTTCTGGTATCACTCAGTTTGGGACGTGCAGTTCAAACTTTTTTCAAACTTCTCACCAAACGAAAGACTTCATGCTTAATCAAATGAACTCTACTTATAGAATTTAAACTATTATAGAACTTACCCACTTTGGCCCAGAATGTAATTTAATAATGTCATTTTAAGGTCACTACTTGGTGAGAGACCCCAAGGCCAAATCAATATATTTTGTGATGTCATTTTGAAATAAAGAATATAGACAAATAACATATATCACATCCTTACTAGCATGAAACTTTAAAAAAGATTATCAAGCTACACCCACTAAAACAAATAACTTTTTTTTAGTTTATTTTAAGTTTAAATTTATAATCCTTAACAGTCAGTTGCTGAACTCCGATGAGTTATTGCTCTTTAACTTTAAGCAGTGCAAGTTATAACTGACATTCCTAAGCTTATGTTACATTTAAATTTGTCAACCTTAACAGTCGTTAAGGAAAGTGAATGATTTATTGCTCTTTGGCTTTAAAAAATATATTTTAATTGAATATTTCTTTAATTTTGTGATTTTTCTTTTAATTTTACATATTTCATCAAGATTTAAACTCGAAATAATTTGCTTCAAGATTTAGGACATTTTTATAAAAATAATCTATTCAATAGAGATCTCTTGAAATGAGTTCATCCTTGAGACACTTAAATAGATTCATTTCATTAACTTGAACCTTACCGACTCTGCTTGCTTGCTTACAAAGAATTAGATCCATAACTTGCAAATCATTTAAATTTATTTAAAAATTTATTGTTACAAACAGTGTCATATCTATTCTTGTGCATAAAGGATCGAGTTTGTAGAGTGAACTCATTAATATACTTTGCAAGTGTGGCAGTACTGGCACAGTTAATTTTTAAATAACATTTCCATATAAAAGGCCCTTGAAGTTCATATGTAAGCTGAAGACAAAATAACCATTTGAATATTGTACTCTGGTATTACACTCCAATCTGATGATTAACTTAGATTATGATAGGTGAGAAATTATAAAAATCATTCTTTGACCGCTATGATTTCAAATTTATCATGTGAATATTTGCCACGAGAGATAAGTCTTGTCAATTTCAAGTCTAAAACAAGTAAGATCAGATTTGGAAAAATGGGACTTGTGACCCTATCATATCGGTAGAGCGGCTTACTCAAAAACATCGTGCAACAATTTCATGAGTCTGAATTCTGCAAATGAGTTTGTATATTTCAAAAGTAATTGCACACATCTCAAAGTGGATGAAATTTTGAGTTCATCTTGTATCTAATCCGCATAGTATTATCTAACTTAAAGTTTTTAGTGTGTTGTCCAAGCACATATGGATTAATTTGCTCACAATGCGCTTGCATGATTTTCAAATGCTCTTGCCTAATGTAATTGCATGATTATTGGTGCACTGCATACAACTTTCGATGCACATACATAAGCATTTGCATGATTTTCAAGATATTTCAAAAATTGATGATAAATGTGCACGACCATCAGTACACTATATTTAAATTGGTGTCCACCTTGTAAGGTACTTGCAAGTCAAACAAAGTTGCCATCAAGTGGGATTAACCTAGTGATGTGCATCCATCACTTAAAAAAATATCTAAAACTAAACTTATTTGTGCAAATAATGTTGTCATTAAAATGTCACAAATATTTAGGTAAACATTTGGCGTTCACATTATGTCAGCTTGCCTAAATATATTGTAAATCCGGTTGAAAATATTTGTCAATTAAATTCCATTATTTGTCTTCAAGCGTCACAATTTTTTTAATTATTGAAATGAGGAGAGCCTCGCAAGGAATTTTTCTCCTCTATAAATGAAAGGATTGTTCAATACATTTTCTTGGTTCAATCTCAATTCATAGAGTTCTAAGCTATCAGGAGAGTTATAGAAGCGAAAATTCTATTCTTTGCTCACAAGTAAGCTTTCAAGTCCCCGATAATTTTTTGTGCAAGTCTTGTTTGTATTTAATCTGGTTCTTTTGAGATAATTTGTATCACATTTGAATGTTTATTTTTGCCCTCATTTTTATAAGTTCATATTCATGTGGTTCATTTTAGATGTTTTAGATTCGACTTATGTTAAGAAAGGCAGAGGTAGACCTAGGAAGACTTGGGCTTATTGTATAAAAAATGATCTTAATTTATTAGAACTAAATGAAAATATGGACTAAATGTGAAAATATGGCACTAAATAGGACGCAATAGAGAAAAAGGATTCATGTAGCCGACCCCACGTAGTGGGATTAAGGCTTTGTTGTTGTTGTTATTGTTGTATATTCATCAGGTTCGTTTTAACAATGTCATTTAATTCAATAAAATATTTTTTTCATTCTTCCCAAGTAATATTATGAAAAAATTTTTGCAGCCCCCAACGAAAACGCAGAGGAATGTTGGGTCTGCTCACTATGCTTAAAAAAAAAGTAATGTTTGAAACACATAAATAGGGTATCTTCACACACATCGCACTTAAAAATTAATGCTAGGCATTAAACAAAGCATTATTTCTCCTCGCCGTGTTAGAATAAACGCACAATCACTTAATTTTTGTATTTCTCTGATGCATTATAACAACATGCATGCAACAACATCATTGCCCCCAACATTTTATGTTTTGCATGCGATGTGACTATGATGGCAATGAGTTGGTGCAATTTGGGATGAGACAAAAAAACTCTTTAGCATCTCCTTCCTCACCAATACTATAAGCCTCTCTGGCAAATGTCACAAGTAAAAGCACCCCACTCTTTTCTTAAGCAGCTTCTCAATTCTTTTCTATATAACTTTTAACGCATTTCATTGTGATGATTACCATCGCCATTGTCTTTTCATTTCATGTTACTTTTTCAAAAAGGAATTTCTTGACACGTTGGAGCTTAGTAGTTCTCCAACCTTAAGTGATTCTTTCGCACGAACTGTAGTCCATAGAGACAGCATGTCAAACCAACCATTCTACATGCCATAGACTTGTCCTCAAGTAATGCAGCTGCTAATAATAGTCTATTCTTATGAGTACTACCTAGATCAGAAAATCAAACTGATGTAGTAAGCATACACCATTTAGAAACCCCTCCACTCGATCAGAATCACCTCTTTGCATCTCTTTCCAAATTTGTTGATCATAAATTTATAAAATTTTGCTCAGGGAAGCATTACATAAAAATCAATAAAAACACCACGTAAAAGAACAAGATGCTATGAATTATACTGCTTTTTGGAGCAGCAGTCATCGGTAAGAGATGTTAATGCTGTGACCTGATACTAAATCTATTGATTTACCATCTTCTCCTTACAGCAGATTTAGCTTCAGTCATTCTTCCAAGCTCTAGCAAGAGCAAATCTAACATACCATCCATGAAACTCTGGCCTAAATTACGTGGAAGTGCTCTTTCCACATGAAAAACAAGATGTGGTTGGCACACATAGAAACATGAAATCGGAGCTCTCTTTAGTAAAACCAAATCTTTAGGATATTCATTTACCAACACACAGTGTAGACACCCCGATTCCTCATCCTCCCCATCTCTAACCAAATATAATGATTGATTCATAAGCCGCTTTCTCAAACAAAGTAGCATTTTCAAAGGCTTTGTTAGATGGGGCCAGTAGGGATGAAGCCTTGGGCAAATCTTTGGAACAAAGGAAGAAGGTGGCGTGGGAGGGCATTGCTAAGTATGCAGGCAGGATCTTTGTTAGGGTCTTAAGCGAGGAAGTAGGCCGACAAAAGATAGTCAGGAGCTGGAGTGGGGGAAGGAGATGGGGACCTGGGAGGCTGAGAGCTCAAATTTACGAGATGATGGTGAGAGGACAGGTGAGTGGCTATTCAAAAGTAAATTTTGGTCAGATCCCAAGGTCTCACGAACCCTTCTTCTAATCCTCACGCTGCTAGTACCATCAAAGACTTCTTTGGTGAGCTCTAGTTTTGATTCCCTTGCTTCTATGTCGATGTGATATCAGAATAGAAGTTGAAGGGAGAGATGAGTGGACAATGGGTTTGTATAGGACAGAGAGAGATGGCGGTGACATGGGAGCACTTAGAGAGCAGCATAGGCATTGAGAAAAGGAAGATGTTGGTGAAGAGGCTCATGACTTGCGTGGAAAGGGTTTGCGGCGTCCAAATAGAATTGAAAGCGGAAAAGAACAAGGGAACAACAGGTAAAGCAGAAGGAAAGGTTGACTGAGTGGAGATGAGGTCTGGCATTTACGTTTTCTTTTACATGAATCCTATTTATTAAAAGAAGAGCGATAAGCCCAAACCAATGGAACTCTAACTTGAGGCGCCGCACGGGAGTGGTTCAGATATAGATATAGATATATAGCGGTGGCAAGAGATTTGATAGGAATTCTTTTGCAGCTTGCTAAAGATTTGATAAGTATATTAATGTTTTAAGCAAGTTTAAATAAGAAAATAAAATTAATGTGTAAAGTGACTCCTCGTGCTATGTCTCATCACTCATACATCTCAAAATTTTATCCTCATCTCATGCCTTAATAATTTTTTTGCAAATTTTTATGTGCCACAAAATGGGTAAGATAGGTGTCTTTCTAACATTTTAAAATGATTTGAACATGTTGGTGTAGTTTGTTTCACGAAACAGGTGATGCTTACATCATTTCAATATGGGTGACCTGACTCAGTCCCAATTTGTATAATATGACAACCATTGTCCGTTATTTTCATCGTATTTGATTAAATGAAGTCATAAAATAGAAATGAAAGTCAACAATTTCTCAAATTTAGTTCTAGTTTAAATAAAATCAATAAAACATAGTTCCTTAAAAGCTAAACTGAGATCATTTATAGAGTCGATGGGCTAAATTTAAATCAATTTATATTATAATTTCAAAATAAGGAGCTATTCTGAATCAATTCTGTACAATCGGGGTACTAAATTGGAGAAATGTGATGCTTTGGGTCTAAATTGGCCACCATGAAAAGTCAGGAGACTATTTAGAGTCTAATCTTATGGACTATTATATGTCAATAAAAGCTCCATTTGAGTGCATGACTTCACTCACAGTGAAGAATCAAAAACACTTGGCCACCTTTGAGATGTCAGAAGATGTTTCTACTTTTAATTCCCACGCTCATTCCATGTATTGAAGCTGAAAGTATTTGAGTGATGTCTATGCAATACCTAATTGATAAAATATGGCCATCAGACACTCCTACGGAGCTTATCAACAAAAAATGGGATTGTAAAGATATAAATTAAACTTCACAATTGGTCGTCTGCATGGTGTCTTGTTGTTGGAGAGAAACCAAAATGACAAATATGATTTCAGAAAAATATCTCACCATTCCAAAATAGCTTCCAACTAACAGCTTCTTCCTTCCTTGCTTATCCATCAAGTACAAAGCAATCAATGCCCCTAAACAACAGCAGAAAAGCTCTTATTCCATCAAGGAAATACAAAAATAAAATGGAAATTACACACCCATATGTTCACCTGCAAAATTTGTAATTCCGACATACAAACTTGCCAACGAGCCACTAGTTATACCCACATCACTAAAAGTCAAGGATGAAAAGTATAGGACTCCATTGATCCCCGCTAGCTGTTGAAGTATAAAAAGTGATCCTCCGATGAAAGCCACTGAAAACAAAACTTCAAATGATTTATAACATGTGACTTCAATGAAATGATTAAATAAAGGTTGAACAGACTCGAGCTTAAATTATGGACAAAAAAAATAATGGAACTGCTTAGCAATAAACAACGGAAACCACAAAATAATATACAAGTTGCGTGTGTAATTGTTACATTTAATAATGTGGGTAATCATTTCAACAGAACACAGAAAAGAAAGACCAAACAAAGCAATCACTGTATCAAAATAATGTTAAATTAACAGGAACGTCAATTTCATTCTAATTACTGCTGCTCAAGTACAGTTACTTTTTAAAGAGTTCCCAACTCGATGGTTCTCCATTGTACAATATTATAAAAGAAATAAATACGTAAAATTTGGAATAACTTATTGACTTCATTGAAAAGGTATATTAAATGAAGTTGCTAACTGACACGGTGCGGGAAATCTCATGTGTGGAGGGCAACAAACCGGGGGACCCCCGATCTAATTGGAGACCGGTCTAGGAGAAACCCAGGACGAGCAGCCTAGGGCGAGATTTAGATGGGGCGAAACTGTCGCTTGCCCTCTCCTCCTTCCTTTTCTACTTCTTCGCGGAATTTTAACAGGGCGAGACGGCCGCTCGCCTTCTTCAGCTACCTTTTTTTCTTCTCCATCATGTATGAGTTAGGGTTAGTTTTAGTTGTTGTGTGTTGTTTTCAGATTCTTTTGTGGAGTTGTTCTCCCTGTTCTAGGATTGTATCCCAGAAGGTGGTGGTGCTCTGACTTGTATCCTACTCCGCGGTAGTGGTGTTGTTGTATCCTACTCAGCGGTGGTGATTTATCTTTCTCTATCCTCCTTCCTACCCCTTTTTCCTTTCCTTCGATTAGACGTCGACCATCCCCGCTGTCTTGCCACCGCCCTTCCACCACTGTTCCACCACTGCCTTACTATCCAACCTTTCCAATCCGCCTCCTAGCAGCCTATTCCCCCTCCAACTTGCTGCTGTCCACTACTCCAGCCCCGTTCTCCACATTAGGCAGCCCCATTACAGCCCTTTGAATTACTTACCAGCCTCCGACAACCCTTCCTCTACAGCCACTCTCGCAGTCCAACCCACCTACCGGCCATCAAACTCTTTCTAACCGACCTCACAACCACCAACCCTTCCCCTACCGTCACCACATTACCGACGCCACTCTGCCCTCGAATCTTCCCTTCCAGCCCTAGTCGAACCTTGATTTAATAGTGTTTTTCCTTTCCATTTGTATCGTGTTGTAACCCTAATTCAGTATTAATAAAAGCTTGTTTTGCGTTTTCCATTGAATTTCCTACTAGTTCCGATATAATTTAGTATCAGAGCTAGATTAACCCTAGTCCTATCGCAGGGTTTCCTAGCATCTGCTTTCCCCTCCAGATTTTTCCTTACTATTCCAAAACATAGCCCAAACCCCAAATTCTCTTTTGTTGATTTTCAAAATCAACAAACATAAATAGCTTCTCTACACCAGCAATCAATCGCACATGCCCTCTTTTACCTCTACCCAATAATTTTTTCTCCCAAAACCAAAACTTTAGTCATGCCACCGACAAGAAATATGCCTGAGCCCACCCAGAAAAAGATAAGGCAAGAGCTCCGTTGTCTTCAACAAAAACTTTACAAAAATGGAAGAGTTAACACGGGAAGAGGTTAACCTCGATCGAGGTCTAGAGAGTCGAAGGTAGAAAGAGATGAAGATTTGAATCCCTTCCATAAGATAATTTTAGCGACAAAGAAGAAGGACCACAGCGTTTTGGAATTCAATATTAGAGGAGGCCTAGAGAGAGATACTGAGTCTCCCCAAAGGGACACTCGCATAGAAGAGATGCATTTGGAGGACACAGAGACTTCGGCATCAAGGTAGATCTGCCAGAGTTCGAAGGATCTATGAATCCTGAGGAATTCATTAAATGATTACATATTGTTAAGCAGATCTTCGAGCATAAAGATGTGTCAGAGGATAGGCAGGTTAAATTAATGGCCATCAAGTTAAAGAATAGTGCTTCTCTGTGGTGACAGAACTTACAGAGAACGTGTAAAAGAGAGGCTAGCGATAAGATTACCAGGTGGAAAAAGATGAAGAAAGCAATGCAGAAGAAATACCTACCACCTCATTATCGCCAAGATATATTTTTGAGGCTTCAACACTTGCAGCAGAGGGATTCATCAGTAGAATAGTATACAGAGCAGTTTGATCATTTGCAGATGAAGTGTGATCTGACGGAGCCAAAGAAGAACACAGTTGCCAGATATCCTAGTCGTTTGAAACCTCGAATTGGCAATGTGGTGCGGCTATAACCGTACTGAACGCTGAGAGATGTCCAGGCACTAGCCCTGAAAATGGAGAGGCAACAAAACCAGAGCAAAAATCAGTCATGCTTCAGGTAGACAGTCCCTACAGTTACAACGACTGGCAAGGGTACCCCGAGAGACACAAGCAAGCCCAAGCAAGGGAGTGACGCTCTAGATCAGAGCGGGAAGAACTAGGTAAGAGGTAGCTCCTCCAACACAGTATCGGCCCCAAAGTGTTACAAATGTCATGGCTACGATCACATAGCTTCCAGCTATCCAGAAGCTATCCCACAAGTAGAGTAGTCAAACTCACAGATCAAGGTGTCATTGAGGAGGTTAGCAACGAGGAGAAAGTTGAGGAACGGGGTGAGGTGTATCAGCTTTCACTAAATGAATGAAAGGCGCTCGTGATTCGACGGATACTGCAGATTGAGGACACGAGGGATCCGCAATGACTTCTCCACAATATTTTCTACACCCGCTACATAGTGAATGGAAAACTATGTAGTCTTATCATCGACAGTGAGAGCAACAGGAACATGGCATCGACTCAGATGGTTGGGACTTACCACTCAGAGACATTCCTAGTCTTACTGACATGGCTGAAGGAGAATTGGATCAACATCGATCGGAAATGTTTGGTAGAGTTCTCGATCGGAGGTCAGCTACAGGACCAGATATGATGTGTTGTGGTTCTTATGGATGCCTATCACCTTCTGTTGGAACAACCATGGCAGTTTGACCAGAGGACTCCTTAGAAACACCTACTCATTTACCAAGGAGGGAAATCACATCATTCTACTTCCAAAGCCTGAGATCACAAGAACCCTTATCAGCAGAGTTGCGTCGGTAGGAACAGTTCTAGCGATGAAACAGGATAAAAGGACTGAGACACTGGCTCTAGACACAGAATAGTTACACCAGAGAGGATGTCAGGGCCTCACAGTCAACATTATACCACCAGCTTCACAACCGAACAAGAAGATATAGGCTACTCTCAAGGCACTTCAGACTGACTCGATCAAGGTTTATCTTGGGAGTATTCAGTAGTACATGAATGGACTACATTCCTAGGGAGTGGATCGATAAGGATGTGTGCGCAAGCGGAACCAAATTTTGCGATGTTTTGGATGACTGTGCAACCGACAGTGGAATCCAAGTGTCGTTGGGATTGGAGACAAGAAACCAGAAGCTTCGACAAATGAAGTCGAAGCTCCCCCAATCACGAGAGTCTAACCCGGAGAGGGACCTCTTGGCGGCAAACCCCCCCCCCCCCCCCCCCAGGTTAATTGGGGACCAATCTAGGAGGAACCCAAGTCGAGCGGCCTAGGGTAAGACTGCCGCTCACCCTCTCCTCCTTCCTTTTATGCTTCTCCGATAGATTTTGACAAGGCGAGATTGTCTCTCCCCCCCTCCCCCTTCCTTTTCTGCTTCTCCTTCATGTGGGAGCTATTTATTTGTTGTTTTCAGAGTTAGGGTTAGTTTCGATAGCTGCGTGCTGTTTTCAAATTCTTTTATGGAGCTGTTCTCCTTATTCTAGTGTTGTATCCAAGGAAATGGTGGTGCTCCTGTTATATCCTACTCCGCGGTGGTGATGTATCTTCCAGTATCCTCCTCCCTACTCCTTCTGTTCCATTAGCCTTCGGCCATCCCCATTGTTCTGCTGCCCCTTTTCCGCAACAACATTACTGTCCAACCTTTCTAATCTGCCTCCCAACACCCTATTTCCCTTCAGCCTAATGCAGCCCACTACTCCAGCCCCGTCCTCCACATCAGGCAACCCCAATACAGCCTTTAGGAGAGTGATTTCAGCCCTCTGAATTACTTACCAATCCCCGACAACCATTTCTCTGCAGCCACCCTCGCTGTTCAACCCACCTACTGCTATCAAACCCCTTCCTAGCTGACCTCGAAACCACCAACCCTTCCCCTACCCTCACCACATTGTCGATGCCACTCCACCCTTGGATCTTCCCTTCCAGCCATAGTCAGACCTTGGTTTGTTAGTGTGTTTTCCCTTTCCATTTGTATCGTATTCTAACCCTAATTTAGTATTAATAAAAGCTTGTTTTGTGTTTTTCATTGAATTTTCTACTAGTTCCGGTATCACTAACTCACCCACAATAAGTTCAATATCAAATCTCCTCAAAGTCCTCAAGGTATTGTCACTCAAATCCTCTCCCTCCTTCATTTTGATCCTACATGTAGGGGTGTAAACGAACCAAACACGAATGAACAGAGCTCGTATTTGTGTTCGGTTTGTTTGAAATCAAGTGTGTTTGAAATATGCCCGTGTTCGAAATTGTTCGTGAAGTTACTGTTTGTTTTCGGTTTAATTTGTTTGAAATATGTTTAAAATGTTTGAAATGTTCAAATTGTTCAAATTGTTCGAAATCTTACAAATTTATTTTTATTGTTCGAATTGTTGAAATCTTTCAAAAAATTAAACTTGTATGAAATTAATGCTTAAATTAATATGGATCATAACACAAATGCACAATAGCAAAAACACAGCTCACAATAAAGCCATAACATCATATCTCATCCATAAAAAAATCAGATATAGAGGCAATATGCGAGATTTCACTCCTAAAAACTTCAAAAACTAGATTTTACTCAAAGAAACTAAATAAATTTAAAAGAAATATAAGAAAATTTAAGCTATAAGACGAACCTGAAGATAGATATGAAAT